TTTTTTTTTATTCTTCTATATGAATTTTAAAACATTTTTCTGGTTCCATGAAGAATGTCATTGGCATTCTGATAGAATCACATTGCATCTGTATATTGCTTTTAATAAGATGGCCATTTTGACAATATTAATTCTGCCTACTCAAGAACATGGACATTTTTTCATCTTCTGAGATATTCTTCAGTTTCTTTCTTCATGTTTGGTAGTTTCCATTATAGAGGTCTTCCACCTCCTTGGTTAGATTTATTCTCAAGTGTATTTTGAGATTATTCTAAATGAAACTGTTTTTGTGGTTTCTTTCTTAGCAGATTCCTTATTGGAGTTTAGGAAAGCTATTGATTTTTCTGTGTTGATCTTATATCCCACTACTTTGCTGAATTTGTTGATCAGCTCTAAAAATTTTCCAGTGGAGTTTTTCGAGTCTTCTAAATATAGGATCATGTCATTGGCAAACTTATAATATGACTACATCTTTTCCTGTTTATACCCTTTTAATTTCCTTCTCTTGCCTGATTGCTTTGGCTACAGTTTTAAAATTATATTGAATAGAAGTGATGAGAGTGGATATTTTTGTCTTGTTCCTGATTTTGGAAGAAATGCTTTGAGTTTTTCTTCATTCACTATGTTGTTGGCTTTGCTTTTGTCATATATAGCCTTTATGATATTAAGTTCCATTATCCCTAGTTTATTCAGTGTTTTTATAATGAATGAGTGCTGGATGTTGTATCTGTTGAGATGGTCATGTGATTTTTGTGCATTATATTTATATGATGAATTATGTATATTGATTTGCATATGTTGAACCAACCTTTCATCCCTGGGGTGAAACCAACTCGATCGTAGTGTACATTCTTCTTAATATATTTTTAAATGTGAGTTGCTAATATTTGTTAAATATTTTTGTGTCTATTCATAGATAATGGTCTGTAGTTTTCTTTCCTTGATGTGTCTTTCTCTGGTTTTGATTTCAGGATGATACTGGTTGCATGGGATGAATTTGGGAGTTTTCTCTCCCTTTCAATATTATGGAATAGTTTTAGAAGAATTAGCTTTAGATCTTTGTAGGCCTGTTAGAGCTCAACTGAGAATTCATCTGGTCTTGGGCTTTACTTTGTTGGAAGGCTTTTCATTACTGCTTCAGTCTCATTACATTATATCAGTCTGTTCTGGTTTTTAATACCCTATTCATTCAATTTGTATAAGTCATATGTTTCTGGATATTTGTCAAAGTCTTCCAGGTTTCTAATTTGTTGGAATATAAATTTTCAAAATAATACTTAATAATTCTCTGTATTTCAGAAGTATCTATCATTTCTAATTTTGTTGATTTGGGTCTTTTATTTCTTGGTTAGTTTGACTAAAGGTTTATTAATCTTGTTTATCTTTTCAAAGAATCAGTTCATTGTTGCATTATCCTTTATTTTTAAATTTTTTATTCTGAATTTTATTACTTTTGGCTCTGATCATAATTGTTTCCTGTCTTCTACTGGTTTTAGAATGAGTTTGCTCTTGGTTTTATGGGGCCTTGAGATGTAACATTAGACTGTGTATTTGGCATTTTTCTGGGGTTTTTTTGTTTGTTTGTTTTTGTTTATCTTTTTCCAAGTGGGTACTCAATGCAGTAAACTTTCCTCAAGAACTACCTTCATACTGCCCCAGAGATTTTGAAATGTTCTATTTCT